CTGACCTGCAAACGAACAAGATCTTGGTCAGAGGAAAAGAGCTGCAGCGGCAAGGAATCTATGAGTTCTGATTACATATAGTAGGAGAGAGTTCGTGTTTCATTCTTAGAAAGTTATTCACGTTTATTAACATTTTTATTATCAGGGAGATTAATATATTATTCACATATTTATTTTGACTATCGTTGATTTTATCACATGGCTTCTTTTCGATAATTGAGTACGGAGGCCAAGTGATCTAGCCTTATTGAATTCACCGCTTTTTCAATTAGTGCAAGCCTTCAGAAGAAAACTGTTGGAATTTCATGATATTCTACTTATAAGTTTGTTAGTTATTGTGGTAAGAGTGGCACTACTTTTATTATTTTTGAAACAGTGAATCTAAATCAATTTCGTGTTTTATTCTTATACTGCTTTGTGTTGGCTTTATATTGCATGATCATTTGACTAGGTAGGTAGATAGGTCAAAAGTAAGTGAGTCTATTCGACCCTCCACCACAACCCACAAGGGTTTATTGTGGCTCACACTTATTCACACTCGGCCAAATTTCTTCTCAACTTCTTCTTAACAAAGCCGATTAGTTTGTATGGTGAGTGGTTTTTCAGGTCAGATGGTGGGAGTACGGATCTCCCGAACTCTAAGAACCTGATTCGGTCCCCAGTGAGGCACAAAGTATATGCTCTGCTGTTTCATCACTTTCCAGACAGAGGCGACATACACTGCCTTCCGACAGTCCAAGTCTCTGCATAAGATGATTCAAATAACAGTGACCTGTAAGAAGACCTGTTGGACATCGTAGTCTATCCCTACTGTAGTCCAACAACTGTTTGGTATCAAGCTTCGATGGGTGAATAAACGCCTTGGAGTGAGCCAATCCTGGAAGATTCTGCCTGAAGTTCATACATCTTCTTGCCATCCAGGTGTTCAGTGTTCGTTTGGCAAAGCCCAAAGCGATGCCAATGACAGGTTCTGGTCCGATGAAGCCGCTTGCAGCACCCTCCTTTGCAAGAGAGTCAGCAGCTTCATTGCCTTCCAGGCCAGTATGTCCAGGAATCCAGACCAGAGACAATCTGTTAAGTCTTTCTATCGAGGAGAGTCGTTTTTGCCAGTTTGCTACCAATTTAGACTTTGCTTGGTAGAAGTCAAGAGCTTCTAACGCCGCTTGACTGTCCGAGAATATTTTTATTGACTTGTGAGTGAGGTTGGATTTATCCAATCTCTCCGCACACAATTCAATAGCGTCGCATGAGTTCCTAGGCAGGTAGATAACTCTGTCCTGGGTCTGCGACTAAAAACACCTGCACCAGAACCGGAAGGTGTTTTCGATCCATCTGTGAACCAACAACTACTTAATATTTCCTTCTCCTCTCTACTCGGCAATAGTACTTTATAAGGCGGTTCGTAGTTAACAGTTGGAGGTATAAATTCAGAGGTCATTTCCAGAATGCTGAGACTTCCAATGTCAACCAACAGTCTGTTGCACTCTGCACTGAATTGATTTGTGCAATTGGTAATGTGCCCAAATCTGTATGCAGTCCATCCAGCCTCTCTCTCCAGAAAAATGTGGAAAGGAGGTAGATCTAGAAGGATATCCATGGCCGCTAAGGGTGTGGTACTGATGGCACCACTGATAGTCAGACAAGACTGTCTCTGTAAGCCAGAGAGAGAAACACAGCTACCACAATCTCCTTGTTGTCAAAGGATTTGGAAGATTTTCTTAACGAGGTTTTTTAATGCCGAATCTGTCGATTTGCCGGTTTGATAAGTATACTGGTGGTTATTCAGGGGGGATGCATATAATGCTATCCTCCTGATATGTCAGTCCAGTATCCTCTCAAGTCCTTTCAGCAGAAAGGATGTGAGGCTGATTGGTCGTAACGATTTGGGGTTTGGGTCTCTCCGGCCATTTGACTATGAGAAAGCTCTGTTCAAAGTCAGTGCCGTGTTAGCTCACTGTTGACCAGAAACAAAAATGTCTTGATGATTCTGGGCAGTGTTTGGCAATGTTTATAGATAAATATTCTCGCCTTTTTCATTTTCAGTAAGGTAAGAACAAAACATAGGGCACAGTTCAGCAACATTGTAATTTTCCGCTGGCCAGAAAGTGGACAAACAATAGTTCAGTATCAAATTATTGTTGGTGAACATCGGAGTGTTTGATTTTTCGGCGGGTTTGTTCTTGGAGCTATTCTGAAAGTTCTGTTACGGTGCCAGGTTCGGCTAGCTGGTCATTTCGACTGAAGAAATTGTGAAATTGCTTATACTTCCTTATCTCAACTTTTCTTCCCAACCAAGTTTACCGAGTAAACAAAAATTGGACCTACAAGCCAAGGAAAAGCCTCAACAACAAAATCTCAATCTGTGAGCATAATTTAGATTCCACAAATTTCAAACTGAGCGAAGAGGGAATAATTATAAACCAAAATTTTTGAGTCGATATGTGGATGAAACATGGATCCGTCATTTTACTCCGGAATCAAAACGATCTTCATCTGAGTGGAAAACAACTAGCGAACCTCGTCCAAAGCGCCCGAAAGCACAAGAATCGGCAGGAAATGTTATGGTTTTTGAGATATGGGTCGTGTAGTATTCATTGACTATCTTGAGAAGGGAAATATCATCAACAGTGGATATCATATAATAATATTGAAGCATTTGAAGGCCGAAGATGCAAAGAAAACGACCCCATATAGCAAAGAAAAGAGTTTTTTTTTCATCAAGACAATGAACCGTGTCACAAGTCAATCAAAACAATGGCAAAACTACAAGAATTGAACTTGGAATTGCTCCCACATCCACCGTATTCGCCAGATTTGGGTCCCAGCGACTACTGCTTGTTCACAGACCTCAAAAAAATACTGATTGGTAAGATTCTCGAATGAAAAGGTCATTGCTGAAACTGATGCCTAGTTTGAGGTGAAAGATAAATCGTGTTGCAAAAGTGGTACTGAAATGCTAGAGGGATACTGAAATGATTGTGTGGTTCCTGATGGACTTAGGCCCCGGACTTTGCAGCCCATGTAGACCATCTTCATTAAAAGCAAGATGATGAAATTAATATAATGATTTTTTTTTGTAACGGTTCCCTATAATGAATGGAACGACTCTTATGGTAATACAAATTTCAGAGAAGGATAGTGTCAAAATTCCCTTAGGATGAACACATTTTCAGTCTAAGTTGTTGAACAGCTAGATCGACCGATTCACGTATTTTTTCAACACCTGAATGTTAATTTGGAATATTCTGTTAATGGTCTGCAAATCAAAAAAAAAAATCACCACAGGTAACTGTTGCGATATTCTGAATGATGATACTGTATGCCTTGAATAATATAAGAGGGGTTTGTGAATATTGGTAAGAAACTTGCTTTTGGTGGTTCAAAATATGATTACTTGGGCAACTTTTCGGTTTTCACAATGACATTGAAACTAATGGCTATACACTTCTGTTGAAACTGACCTAAGATCTGTCCACTATTGATATCGGTTGATCCAGTAGACATAGGCAACCATAGACCAATCATCATCTCATGTTACTTTGGTTGAACTATTCGAAATAATATTATGTGTCATCTATTAATCAGTCAGAAACAACATTTCCCAGAATCAGCACGGCTCCATGACCAGGAGATTTACAGTTGTCAATTTGGGCCCAAAGAAGCCATTGTATGGTGAATCATGTATTGTGTTTTTGTAAAACTGTTCAGTGGAAATCTCACAAAAAACTCACAATAAAGCTTTTTTTGAATACGTTAGTTATGGATTTTCATCAAGAATCGGCCAATTGCATCAGATGTCATTTCACCTCAAGTGTCTCGGAGGGGTTTAACTTGGGTCGGCACCTGTTTCATTAACGACGTCTCAGTTGAACTGAAATCCAACCATCTTCTATCTGCTAATGACTTGAATATAGACAACCCAATAACATGTATTTATGACTGTATGTCACTCTAGAAATTCATAATAACCCTGATGTTGCGGTGCTCTGATAAAATTGCTTGATAGAGAACAGATCAAATAATCAATCATCATCTTCAACTTCATCACGAACGAGTTTCTGTGATCAGCTGTGATGGCGTCATGGCAAAGTGAGAACGGAGTGAGAGAATGCTAGATAGAGAAAAAGTGAATAGAGAAATAGAAACTCGGAGAGGGAAATATAGGTATCACACAGCTTCACACATTAAACTTTATCGACGAATTTTTGTTATTTCGGCTTGCGGAAACCGACAGATTATATATTTTTCGTTATCCTTGAATTATTTCCTTCAAAATGATAAAAAATTAGCTACGCTCGAGAATGTCGAAATGACGTTATTTTTTTATAACTTTGCTGCCCTCCCCTTTCTTTACGTCACTCTCAAATTGTCAGAATACTGAAACATACACTTTTTAGCAGGTAAATAACTCACTCTTCCTTAATCTGACGCGCTCGAGAATTTCTGATGATCATGTTTTTTCCACTAATCTGATCCTTTATCCCTCACAGGCGGCCTCATATATGGGGCTCATATTTGGTCAAGATACTTAACCGGGTACAAGGTATCCCCCTGTATATTAATTTGCCGCGCTTTAGTAAATTCCGAAATCCCCGCTTGGGCTTCTGTACTATAATGGCAAATTAACTTTTACTGAACACATTGACCCTGAAGTTGATTCTGCGATGAAAGTACTTATTGACTGTGTCGGAAACTGGTCGAGTTTCAATCATATGGCAAGACTAAAAATATTGCATAATACTTCCATGAAAAGTAAATTGCAGTACGCCATAATAATTTGGCCACTTTCCTATCAATACGCTATTGCAACCATATAACGTATTCCACCAAAATGTCTTGGATGAATGTTCTACAAGTGTAATAGATACTATCCCAGTAGGGAAAATAACATCTATGAAGTTTCAGAAACTCTTGATCACAATCACCAAAACAGAGACGTGATAGTAAATAGCCCAAAAGATAATGTGAGCTACTCAAAAATATAAGAGGAATTCCACATCGATCAATTGTTTTGTTATTGTCCTCCCTCAATGTTATTGAGCAAATATGTCGACATTAATAAAACTTTCGTTCATATCATTATCATGAAATTGGTACAGTTATATTTAACAGATCAATCATTCTCTGGCTAATCAGAATGACCATGACCTGGTAAAAGGACTTTCAGTGATTGGTCTTGAGATGAGGCATAATCCTCTCTTCTGTACTTATCCCTTGTTGAACCACCACCCTGCAATTTTCCTATACTGTTACTTTTCCGAATTTCAACTTTGATATCTTTCGACGGCTGTAGAAGTGGAGACGTAACTTTCGAAGAATCTTCGTCACTGTCCGATGGGCTCTGGTTTCGATCTCTCTTTCGAAGGCTCTGCTCAAGTCTACGCAGGAATCTGGAAAATGGGTCATAATCATACGATAAAACAACAAAATATTTACATTCTACAATAGACAAAAGTTTTACTCTGCAATTAGGTTGTGTTACATAGAGCGAAAGCAACTAAAATTCATGTGAATCAAATTCATATCCGATGAAGCCATTCACGTAGAACATAAGAACCGCAAGATTTGCGAAATACTAGGTGTAAGTGAATNTGAAAGATCCTATCTTATTTTCGATGAGGAATCACCTCCTCAAATGTTTTACACTTATTCAGTTACACCCTGTATAGTGACCATTGTAACTGAGCGAGAATTTGAAGGATACAGAAACTTCACTAAACGAATGGAAGACACTCAGTAACGGACGTGGATGATACAAAAATATAACAGGAGATGCTCGGAGCTCTGACGCCCGAGATGCTGACCCAAGATATCGGCGCCGGAGTTGACGCAGCATCTCGTGAAGCATCATCTGTTTGCCAAGCAGAGGGTTTTCTTTCAAAGAAGTTGTGGATACCAGAGAAAGTGTATTCTTGGAGAAATTAAAGGCTGTGAGTGAGGAGCGTTCAAAAAGAACGTTGTTGTTTTCTGGCTATTTTATTGACAATGGTTCGCTCCAATTCAGTTTCAGCAGTTCAACTTCGAATTTCCCATTTCGCTGGTCCAGTGATGGGGAGAATCATTGCATCCGATATTACTGAGAAGAAAAATGCAGTGGCGAACGTACAAACAACAGTTACAACAATATTAGACTAGTTATACAATTTTCAGTCAAAACCCTGGAGCTTAATGGGTTGAAAAATTTTGGCAACACCTGTTCCATAAATCCAATGTTTATTAAACACGTAATGGTTACTGTTGAAGAAGGATATCAATACCAGTGATACTAGTATTGATGCATAAAGTTTCTATCAGCCCATAAGTGTTCCCATATTTTTGTGATTCACTTGAACCTGCGTGCTGACCTGCAAACGAACAAGATCTTGGTCAGAGGAAAAGAGCTGCAGCGGCAAGGAATCTATGAGTTCTGATTACAAATATAGTAGGAGAGAGTTCGTATTTCATTCTTAGAAAGTTATTCACGTTTATTAACATTTTTATTATCAGGGAGATTAATATATTATTCACATATTTATTTTGACTATCGTTGATTTTATCACATGGCTTCTTTTCGATAATTGAGTACGGAGGCCAAGTGAGACCACTTAGATGAGATTGAACTGAGGTAGACTATTTCAAGGCTGACGAAATATACCTCTCTTACCGAAATTATGAATAGCTTCACACGTATTTGTATCTGGTATTATTTATTGTATTGTTGTGGTACATTTGTAGTGTGCTCAGTATGAAATGAAAAGTTGCATAGATCATAGCAAGTATCATGAAATTACCATTTCGAAAGATTCAATAGCGATAGTTGGTGACGTCAAACTAGCGGCATTATAAATCATTTTATATCATTCCGTTCAGGTTGCTGAAATTGATAACCAACTTCTCTCTTATCGTCTTTGTTTATATATTTTAATCTTCCGCTGTTATGCTTTCTTTGAGATGGGAAAACTTATCTAGGAGATAAATTCAGAACTCGTTTATTTTGCCAGATTTATATGTTCATGAATCGTTATCATTGTCATTATATTCTATATTTGGAATCACGTACTTCAATTTTTCTGGTCTGAGAAAAAATCTTTCTCTTACAGTGAGAGAAAATGTCTTAGCTGGCTGAGTTGGTCAATGAATAATAAAGTAGGATAAAAGAACAAATCGAAATTTCTGTTGAAGCAGACCAGAGCTTCGTTCTGGAACCATATAGAGAACAATATGGATCCAAGTCCCTATTGGACAAGTTCAGGGTAATAGCTAAGGGATTCAGCTGAAGTGACAGTTGAGAAATATTTTTAATGTTGCCCAGGCTATCAAGGCGAATTTTTTCATAGTAGATGCTAGAAGTCGATCCACCCCTTAGGAAACACCGGACGTCAATCTCAATATTCCAGATAAATTTATTTATATCAAAATCTGATCGTTGAAGTTGGAAGTTGTCAAAGTAAGTCGTTTATTAGTATCCAGACAACTTGTGATCAAAATTGGTTGATAACGAGCCCCTTGTGATGAGAGCAGATGACTACATCTAGAAAGAGATTTGTCTGGTATGATCACGGAATAATTCTGAATCAAATTCAAGAATACTTGTATTTTTAATAGAGTTCAATTCGCAAAAAACTTTTGGTACTTAGAATTTATGTTGATGTATTGCTATTCGTCACTGACCTTATTTGATGACTTATAGTACGTAATCTGCTGACTTTTTGGTGACAACCATGATGGTTTTTTGAAAATTCTACTGATTTAGCTAATGAAGGGGTCTCGATATTCTGAATATCCTGAAAAATACGACTAAGAATAACAGCTCTCTCAATTTTTTCAACACCTCACCTGGCATGACTCTCCTGCGGACCTGGAACATTTTTCTCCAATCCATGCAATGGGTGAAGACCATCTTATTGTGTCAGGACTTTGACTGGATGAAGATTGCCTAGTATCTCTCTGAGTGATACTGTCTGAACTTGATGAAGAACTAACTACTTGAGAGCGATTGAGTCTTCGTTTCGGACTTAGTTTTCTTGGTGGCGGAACTTTATACAAAGAATCTTTACTGGGAATATCTAAATGACTTAAATGAACCTGTGAAAGAAATTGCGTTGGTTTAGTTGGACTGGGTGTCTTACAGTTGCGAAGCGCTCTTTTCTCTCTTTTCCTTCCGGGCTTTTTGTGATGCAAATGAGTTGTGACATTCACTTTGTCGGAACTTGGAAAGTCATATAATCCATCTGAGTCAGTGAATGGTAGCAAATCCTTATGCCTTCCATAAAACTGTGGTGAAAATCTTCCCATACCGGTGGTGCGGTCGCTGAGAGGACTCTCGCTTCGGGAACTCATGGGACTCAGATGTTTTTCACATCCTGGTGTCTCGCACTGAACCACAATTGAAGGTAACTGCAGAGAGTTTTTACCATTCACTACTAGAGGTGATAGTAGCCGGTCTGTGGGATCGTCCAGACTTGTACACTTGACTACTTTTGGAGTGGTGAGCAAAGAAATCATAGGAAGATCCAACATAGTTTTACAGTTTTCGCTTTCATTCACCATGAACACTTCCAATTCTTTGGCGCTCTTCAACGCACCTTCATCAATTTTTTCATCGATATGATCTGTTCCAATTCCTTCATCGTTGGATTCTGCAAGCTGTTCATCAGATAGAGTTTCAGAATCAGATCTTCCCCGTCTTTGTTCTTTTGTACTCTGTTCAAGCTTATCACATGTTGAAGGACTTGCTGATGATTTCAGTACTGGAGTTATTGACTGTCTCCTCTGGGATCCAGCGGAACCATGATCATCCATTTCACCTGGACATAATGGATTGCTAGATCCGCACCTCGAGGGTCCAGGACTCGCCATCGAACTATATCCCGAAGAGCTCAAGTTACTCTCGGAAGCAGTGTGTTCTCCTCTAGAATTCATAGAAAATGGACTGAGATAAGTCATCCCTGCAGATGGGCCTAGATGACCTGTGGATTTGACAGCAGGAGAAATAGATTCAGTATCAGATTCTATCTCACTCATGTTGTAGGTAATGGTGATCATCGGTGGAACAGAAGGCAGATCAAGTGAAGTAGGTTTATCAAAATCCTTCAGCATTTTCCTTGACTGTTTCGGGGAAGGAAACTGAAAACAGGAATCGTTCGACAGATTTGGTACATGTGGCGGTGGTGATCCTGGAAATGAGATAGATGGTATTTTGGGATGAGTCGGTGACGGTGTTTGAATGATTAGTGTTGGAATTTCCAGAGGAGGAGGATCCACGGTGATTGTTATGACAGGTTTATTCCTCTCTTGTGGAAGTCCAATTGGAGTAGGGCGATTCTGTGAAAGGAAGAAAATATTGAATAGTATTCACATCACACTTTCGTGAAGTATAATCATAGAAAAATGCACGAATTCCACTTTATTTCAAAAACGTTTGGTACACAAAGTGGTGAATAGTAAATAAGTCAACATTAATATGGTCCCCATTTGAGTTCCTAGCGTAAAACTCTTGTGAAATTTCTAAAGACATCAGTTAAGGAGTGTGGTGCAATTATTCCGAAATATTCAACGTGAGCTATATTCTTTTGAACCATACTAATAATTATGGAAAATATAATTGCTCAAAGATCATAATTGAATTGTTATGCTCAAAAATGTCAAGGGTTGATAATTTTAATCAGGGTGTCAACTATTGGTTCAAAAATATACGTAATACTCAAAGATTGACACAAGTGTCAACCTTTGGGTTATTAGCTGAAAAATAATTCTTTTAATATTTCAACTTCCCTTTATGCGTACATTTTTTTCATTTATTTGGCTATTTATTTTACCACTCTTACTGATCTAGAACCAATAGACACATGCGTGTCAACTTATATTCATGTCAACCTTTGTTTTTTTTAGGTTTCGATCCATTGTTGAATCAATTGCTTCTGTTATGGCTACAAAAAACGTCAATTGCTGAAATACTCCTGCGATGATATGAGGGCTGCTTTAGAAGTCTGTGATCGAGGAGTTCCGGTAGCAACATCAGCTAAAAGTGTCTAGGATAACCCTTCTTTATAAATTTAGAGGGGACATTCCCAGAGAATGTTGCATAAGAGTTAAGCCTTTCCTGTCTAAGGATAAAGAGCAGTTATTAGTAAATTGGATCATTCATGTGACAAAGGCAGGGTTTCCAGTTGGAAAAGATCAACTATTGGATAGCGTTCAAAAACTCATGATAGAACTGGAAAGAGAAAATCCCTTTACAAACAATCGCCCCGGAAAAAAATGGTATTACCTCTTTTTGAAACGAAATCCAGAAAGAAGTTCCAGGACTCCGCAAAAAGTAACTTCTTCAAGGGCAGCAGTCACTAAAAATAACCTAAGAGATTGGTTCAGCGAAGTTTATCACTATCTGAAATCTAATAAATATGAGGATATTCTAAATGACCCTGACAGAGTACTTAACGCGGATGAGGCTGCATTTTTTTTTAATCCCAAAGATGACAAAATATTGGCCAGAAAAGGGGAAAAATATTCATCAAATAATAAACTCTGATGAAAAGGAATGTTTAACTCTTTTGATCACTGGAAATGCAGCTGTTCAGTTAGCACCTCCAATGGTCATATTCAAGTGTTCCTGACTCCTGGGCTTCAGGAAAATCAGAGACTGGCTGGATGACAAGGGAAACTTTCCATGAATTCGTAACCAACTTTTTCATCCCTGGTTAGTGGAAAGAAAGATATTTCTGCCAATTATACTTTTCATAGATAGACATGTTTCCCACCTAACATTACACCTTAGCAAATTTAGTGAAAATCACGGCAATATTTTGGTTGCATTTTATTTTAATGCAACTAATTTGTTACAACCAATGGATGTAGCGGTATTAAGAATGATTGAGGCTGACTGGATAGGAAGTAATCATCAGTTCAGACTGACCAATACATCAAATCCAATAATCAGAAATCGGATTTCTGCTCATTGCTCTGAAAAACTATTGATAGCAGACTGGATCCGTCAGTTCTTCGGAATGGGTTCCGCAAGTGCGGTTTAGCACCGTGGTCTGCTGACGCGGTATCTATCGGTATTCTGATTGAAGAAACTAGTAGTGAATTAGTACACTCGAATCAATATAATTTTGAAGAGTTAGAAAGGGGACAACTTTTTTTTTATTTATACCTGTAGATAAGATAGCAGCGATCAAGACAAGTTCAACCTGGACAGGTAAAATAGAAGATACATCTCTGTACAAATTTTATAAAAAACTAGAAATCAATATCAAAAAACTAAAAGAGCAAGAATTTGGTGAACCTTCAGAAAAATTTTACAACCATAGTAGAAATACTAAAGAAGATGGTTAAAAGTCAAATGTTATCAAATAAGCTTCAGAAATAAATGTGGAAACTACCGAAAATAATCAAAAAGATGGCGCACATACTGATTCATTGACCCATATCTCATCCACATCACATAAAACTCCACTCAAAGTAATTAGTGATATTATTATTGAACTTGCTTATAATTCTTCCCCTCTTAAGATCAATAATCAGACCATTTGGTAACAGTAATGACGACATTAGTTTATTCAACTTGTCCAATCTCGACAAAGAAAATGCATCGTTTTCAGAGATGCCTCTCATTGACCAGGAATCTAAAAATGATTTGAGATATATTAACAAAAAAATGATTCAGTATTCAAGGAAAACTACAAGTGTGCTATATGGCTGAATTCAGAATTTATTGCAGAATTCAAAAACCAATTGAAAATACTGGGTAACCATTAAAAAACATAACGAATGACGCCTAGTGCTGGATCTCTACGTGAATAAGAGAACCCTTTGACACCAAAATTATCTGCTTTCACGAAATATGGATATTCTTTTTATTTTTTTTAGATATTTGCCCGCGGACACCCTGTATAGTCGATCACAAAAATTCTGAATCGGATCGAAAATAGAAATGCGCTATTTTGTCAAAAACTTTGATTCAATTCATTTCTGGGAATAATTGTTCCCCCAACCGCATTACAAATTTTGTGTAACCTGTAATAACTAACTTTCGTTGTAGTCCTTGGTTGTAAAGTTACGAGTTATCATTTTTTCTAATCTTCAATTCATACACCAAAGAACCTGTACCAGATTACCCAGAGTATTATTTGAGTACTATATAAATCTTTTTCATAGAAATGTTGACCGACAAGGGAGGAGACTATGTACGTTCACATTATAGACATATGAAACCAAAATTAATAAAACAAAAATATGTATAAAGTACGTACTTTCTGTCTGTGCAAAGCTGGATGTTGCATAGCGGCAGCTTCCTCCAAAATGAGTCCATCTTCGGCTTGTGGATCAATGGCAATGTCCGGGCAATGAATATCATCGTCGTCTACATCGCTACTGATAGAAATATTGGGAATTTCCACGGAAATCCTGTCATCGCTTAAATCTGCGTCATCCAAAGAAGACGATGCCGTACTGCGCCTCATGATCGGCGTCAAAGCAGGCGATGGCATTGGCGATGGCAACGGCGTTGGCATTTCCCTAATGGGAGAAAGGCACTTATTGATTGTGCTAGGTATTTCCAATAATATAGAAGGCGGGTGCAATAAGTTACTGCCACTAGAAGGGGATTTGTGCGCGCTAAAAGGGTCGAGAACAGGCACTTCTATGGTACTGTGACGTTGCGAAATGGGACTCTCAGGCGCTCCGCTCGAGAACGAAACAGGTGTATGGATGGAAGAAGTAGACGATTCGTCATCTCCAGCTACGTCATCTTGGGGGCTGGAAGCTGTTGGAGTAGTGGAGGGTGATACTCTCAAAGACGAAGGTAAATTAGCTGCTGCGGAACTAGAAGAGAAGCTTCGGAACATTGCCAGAATAGAATCAGCACTGGCGGGTTTCTGATGACCGTTGGGTAGTCTGTTGTGTCTTCTGTTGATCAGGAGATCTGAAATACTTGTACTCAAAGCACTCGGGATAGCAAGATCAGAGCTAGTGAACGAATCACTACCTTGGTTGCTGGAAGTGCTATTTGGAGACCTCATATCGACGTTTGGAGAGGGGGGAGTGCTAGCCGGTCTAGCGAACATACACCCTAGTCTATTGGTCTGCATGATACCAAGTTCAACTTCGCTTCCCGAACTCATTTCCGCTGAAACTTTATTCAGTAGCCTAGCGAACGTTACCTTCTTCTCCAACTTGGGGTCGAAGAGAGCAGACTGGGCAGTATCGATGAATTTGGTTTCTGCATCCTTTCCATTTTTAGATCCACTGTTACTTTTGCCTATCTCACTCAATTGAATCAATTCGCCCAAACTAACTTTTTTAGAATCCGGTTTGGGCGAAATTAGTTGTTGGAGGATTTGTCGCTTCTCAGCTACATTTTTTTTCGTCGGAGTGGAGTTATTTCGCTTCTTTTTTGGAGATGGTGTACCTACATGGAAATTATATAATTTATATTCTATGGACCTGATTCACGATAATAATTGTCTCATTCATTTTCAAGCAATATACATATACACAGACGTCATATTTCAGAAGGGAAAGTAGTCTCGAGTTTTTGGGTTGACAAATTATGATGTCGCCTCCAAAAACAGAAGAAACATCAATCCATATTAGATTTCTTGAGAAACACTATGTGAAAATTATGTTCGGATGGTGTACTGAGTATTTCAGATTATGATCTCAAATTAATAAAATATTTACAAAGCACGTTGAGTGTTTTTATTCCAGTAATAGTTCTGTATTAGATCAAGTTAATATTGAGAATGAGAAACTCACAATTCGAAATATTCGTAAATGAATATTCATAAATTGAACTCAATGATGATGTATGAGAACATCAGCTTCAGATTCCTTTATATGTATAGAATGGGAAATCTGGGAATGGTTTGATATTGAAATATTCAGTGTATCACCTGAACATAAAATCCATTCAATTATTCCGATCATCACATTGTCTGGTGAAATTTAGGCTGTTGAATAAATTCTAGGTTCGAGTAATTTACAGAAATGATCTAGAACAGACAAAAAGTTGATTCAAGATTCCGTATGGAAAAAAAAACAAAGTACTGCATCAACAGAACATATATGATTAACTTCAATAAGGTGATTTAACGGAAACATCAACTACAGACTGAGCATTTCAAATAGAAATTATTTCATATACCAAAACTCAGTCTAGGAGAATAAAATAAACATCCCAAAAGGATCTGTACAATCAGGAACAGGGAACGAACTTATTGGAATGCGTGTCATAAAATACAATGATTTGATGAGGTTGTAATTTTCCGTTGTAATTACTGTTAGTCTGGAGATTCGAAAACTATATAATTATCTGGTTGTTATAGAACCAACTTACCAAGCGGGTAGTTCCAACAATTATCTAATGCATATAGAACAAAGAAAATAACTTTTATCTATTGCTTTTCAACGTGGTAATACTGCTTCGGTCCTTGGCACTATTCCTTCTCTACATAGTTTTGATGAGATCATGCATGGCCCTCGTTTCAGTACAAACAAACCAAGATATGTGTATTTTCATCAGTCTCTTATCAAGGTTAATTCGCAAGTGATTGATCCACTTTCTTCTCCTTCAGTGCGGTCAATGGACTTAGGTCATTCTTGTCCCCCAAATATTAGCTGCGGTCCTCGTGGTTCTGGTTACCTTTCAGTGGAAAAGCTTCATGAATCAAGAGCCGAATCAATCCCTCTACGAAACCCTTCATCACTTGGAAGGATAGATTCGGTACTTTTCGTGAAAAAACCTAATTTCCACACTTTTTCCAAGTAAAAAAAAGTACAGTTGCTCAACAACGCTGGAGGTGATCGTTTTCGAAATATTTACAATTTTCTATATCGATGCATATTACTTAGTTCCTAGGGCGCTAAGTGAAGTGGCTGAGAACATTACAAAAACTAAATATGTGGTGGATCCCGTCAAAATAAACAACTTTTTTCTTTAAAATCTTCAACGAAGAATGATTCGTTTTCGAAATACAGATTGTTGAAATTTTTCTAAACATGGTAGGTTTTTGCAATTTTAGTTATTTTCATCAAACTGTATACGCAGTATACCCGTACAGACTTCTTCTAAACTGAGCATTATCGAACTGCTAATTAAATCCAAATGAAAAAATAATGTCAGGTTTGATTATTCTAATTAGAAGATGCTAATGCTACATTTCAGAGTTTGTAAAAAAAAGTACGGATAAGTACTATTTTATTCATTAGGAAAATAAACATATAAAAATTGAACGAAACAACTATTACAACAACTGTTCAAAGTGCCGACCCCCAACAGTGATATAATCTTCTGCTCTCCTCATCAAAGAATTCCGCACCCGTAGAAAACTGCCCGGAGTGTTTCTTATCGTTTCACAGCAAGCTATGATGCGATCCCTCAACATTTCCTCGTTTTCTATCGGGCTGGCATAAACTAGTGATTTTAAGTGTCCCCCCCCCAAAAAAAAAGACGGGATTGAGGTCCAGTGACCTCGGGGGCCAATGCTCAGTGCCTCCTCTTCCTATTCATCGTTGGGGATATGCTACGTCCGAAAAATTTCTTGCTATCGCACTAAAATGAGCAGGAGCTCCATCGTGCATAAACCAAGAGTGATTTCGGAGACGAATTTGAACATCTTACATAAGTTGGGGAAACTCGTGTTCCAAATAATGTAGGTAAGCATCTCCATTCAAACGTAAAGGAAGAAAATAGGGCCTAATTGAATAATCCTCAATTATGCCTACCCATACATTAAAAGATAATCTGTTTTGTAAATGAGTTTGCGTTATCGCATGTGGGTTATCTTTCACTCAGATGTGGTTGTTATGGAAGTTCGTGATACCATTTCTTGAAGAATTAGCCTCATCTGTGAAGAGAATTTTCGATAAAATTTGCGGATGTTGTTCAACTTTTCGTTCGACGTTTCGATACGTGGTTGGAAATCAGGTAACGTAAGTGCCTGGACACGCTGAATATGATGAGGATATACTTGCTGTTCCTATAAAATTCTGTGAACTGTCATGTGACTCACATTTAAAGTTTGACTAATTTTTCTTGTACTTGTATGTTCACTAATTTCTTCGAGAACCGCCTCCTCCAATTCTACAGTTCTTGTAGTCCGTGGCCGTCCTACTGCAGAATTTGTTTCAAAGCTTCCAGATCCGGAAAGTCGCCGGAAAAGATTCGTAAATGTCGCTGCACAAGGAGTCACGCGTTGGGGATACCTTTCCTGATAGATGCGCCTGGCCTCGCTTGAATTTCCGTCAGCCAAGCCGTATGCAAAAACCATATCAGCATATCACCTTGTATAACATATTGTAGTATAACATATTATAGTATACGTTTTAGTTAGTATTATATAACTACAACGCACACAACGTTTTCATGTGCAGACCAAGGACAGAGATATCAACCTGCCTAGGAACCAATGCGACTGTATTTCAAGCGGAAATTCACGCTATAGAATTGTGTGCGGAGAGATTGGAAGAATCCAACCTCATCCAGTCGTCAACAATATTCTTGTCGGGTCGTGCGGCGTTGTTGGCTGTTCTTTGCTCCTACGAAGCTTCTTCTTTGTTGGTAGCTTGTTGCCACGACTCTTCTCCTCAATAGTGTGGTGCTGGCGGCTTCTTTCCTCCTATTGTCGGACGGTGGTTGTTGTCTCTTTTTTTTGGATGATGGTGGAACAGGGGGGATACTTTGTTGTTGCTGCCCTGGTGGGGGCCTCATCTGGTTTTTAGAGTTTAGCAGAGCCGGACTCTTACCATCTGACCTGAAAGACCACTCACCGTACAAACTAATCAGCTTCGTTAATAAGATGGGTTTATTTGGTAGAGTGTGAATAGGTGTGAGCCACAATAAACCTTGCGGGTTGTGATAGAGGGTCGAATAGACCCACTCACTTTGAACCTAACCTAACCTAACTACAACGCAACCAACGGCGGCAATGCTATCCTGGGTCACCGGGATTTTTGGCGTGCGTGGAAAGAAGGAAGGCCACGGCCATAACCATAACTTGGGCGACACTGTATTCATCAAGTTCACAACTCAACACAACATTTGGTTTACTTATCGTAAACTCCACTTCTTTTGCACCCGAAAAACGCCATGTGTTACAAATTGGTGAAGATACTAGATATTCTTAAAGAGATGACGCAAAACCATCAAGCCTGACAAACAACCAAAGAAAACGTTCATTACGAAAGTATAGGAATATCAACGTATAGTGGTGATCATAAGGAGCCAAAAGAATCTAGGAGCAGAAATGCCGGATACTGAGCCAGTTTATACATCGGTGAATCCAAACTCTTTCCTGGACCTGTGAGTGAGAGGGTAGAGCAGCCAAAGCAAACAGGCGGTCTGAAGGAACCAAGTTACTATGGTTACTATGTTTTCTCGACAGTACAGCATTGGACTTTTTTGAAGCAATCAAGCAGTAAAATTTGAACAGTTCTATTTTCAACTGTTGAGTTGCAAACAACAAATCACTGAAGTCATATGGACATTTGTTTGATAAAACCAAGGCTTTTTAGAAAAGGTTATTTTCTCGGATGAAACTAGCGTGGACTTCACTTCTTTTGCCTTCAAATACCCCACGCGTATTTTATTTGGAAGAGCCTTGAATTTGATGACTGGACCATTTTTTGAATTTTTGCCAATCTCAATGAGCCTAATTTCTCAATATTTGACTTGAAGTCAAACTTGCGACTTCCATAAGAAAATCTCAGGCATGAATTCTAGATTTATTCCAATTTAGCAGCGTCAGCTGAAGCAGCGTGCTATTGCAATAAAATGGAAAATATTGAATATTCACATAATTTCAAACTGGTCGCTGATGAAAATTGGTTTAGACAGACCTGTGGAAGAGTGAAAAATGAGTTTGACATGTTTGGTAAATCTCAGATGAGAGACAATTCCAATCCCTAGCGAAGTTGTGCCCAGTGGAATTACTTTGAGATCGACTTCTGAAGAAAGAGACATTGCCAATTGGATTATATATGTAGTCATTATTTCTTGAATTTCAAATTTCAAGGCCTACTTAGAAAATTTCTATTGAGAATTATTACTTGTCAAATTCTGAATATATACAAAGCATAAATATCACCAGACAATTTTATTTCAATACAAGCGCGCTACTTCTGTTTGAGGGCCAATTACTACTTTTCAATTAGTATCTGCTGCTTTTTATTTTTATATTTGGTGGGCTTACTCATCAAAAAGGAACGCGCTTGGAAATTTTCAAAGCAATGAGCTTCTTGTTCTATTATGAGAAAACAGTTAAAGGAATCAAAATCCATGCGCCTAGCCATTCTAAAACTAATTGCTTTGAAATATTTTGTTCATCACGGATGTCAATCAATAATATACTACCAACATTGTGCTGTATATTTACAACAGCATCTGTGCAACAATATAATTACAGTTCTGTGCAACCTACCAGCCACACGCAATAGAGTGAAGGGAAAGGGAGGTCTACAACAAAGAAATAAATAGAGAAAGATAGATAGTCAATAGATTCGCAAACGGCAATTCAAGAACTCAGCTGCTCGAGTCTTTTATATATGATCATGTTGAAAATACCTGATTATATTCCATCTGATTGGAGAAACATGTAATTATTTTTCTGATGTAATACCTGATTGGGTATGTTAATCTGATTTCTGTGACGAAAATTTACAAATGCTTTTTCGTTTTCATGTTGCTACAAATCTAAACGAGCTTATATACGCAGGTTTCCTGAAAATATTTGTAATAAGCTTGAGGTCAGTTCAGAAGATGCTCGAAATGATTGCCTGTAACTTCTTGACATATGAACAGCCTATCCGATATTTCACGCCGAACATTTTCGAACACAGTAACGTCAATATCTCTACAAATATTTATTATTATCTGCCGTATATCCAATATTGAAGCAGCTTTACTTTCGTACACCTTTTGCTTCAAATAGCCCCATAAAAAGAGAGGCCAAAGGTGTCAAATCTGGCGAGCGGGCTGGCCATTCTGTAGGACCTCGATGGCCAATCTAACGAGCAGGAAAGTACCTAGTATCCAAATATTATCTTACTTATCCGGAGTGGTGGTGTTCCATCTTGTTGGAATACAATATCCATAACGAATTTATTAGGATTAGTACGACGTTTTCAATGACGTGAAGGTCAACAGTAGTTTCCAGTATATTCAAATACAGTTCCCCGTTGAATTTTGATCAACAAATAAAGGTCCTACAATATGGTTTCTTAATATTCCTGCCACAACTTTAATTTTTTTGTCGTTTTTATAAATAAAAAATAACTTAACAAACCCTATCGGGTTGTTGGTATCCCCATATGACAATTCCAAACACAATAATATCGATATTGATGGGTTTGTCTTCAAGAAATTATTGAACATTTCGCCATTCTGTACTAGGTTAAGATATTGACTTCATATTCTAGGGTTGTGAAATATTCGTCAGGAGCTCCAAAATGATGTCACAAGACCCCCTTTTTCATTTAATTTTTTCCCAGATGGCGCTCAGTCGCTATTTCGAAAGTTTCATCTGTCAATTTTACTTCAAAGTATTCATGCATTAATTTCATTATCCCAAATTTCAATTTTTTGAGTTGACCCGTTCAAATAAGAAAAGAGGGGACATTGAAGAAATGCACTGTATACTTCATCAGTAGATGTTCACGAAAAAAATATGGAACTGCAATACTTGTTTCAATGTCAAAATGTTATTGAATTCATCATATCCTCACATACCCATTTGACACGAAATGGCCTCTTACTTCTACCCAGTCAATATCGAACTGCTCTCTACCAAAAAAGTTTTGAATATCAGAGATGCAGACGGTATAACAAACTTACCGACGACAGTGAAGTTTCAGGAAATATACATATTTTCAAGAGAAAAGTTGAGGAATCTTATTGTCAAAAACTGCTACATTGTTGAGAAGTTTCAGCTGTAACTTTATTTTCATGTGAAGTGTACGGTTTATTTGATATACACCTTTTTTATTCATACACACGTAGAATTAGTAACTTCAGTATATTTTACATTTATACTTTCTATTATTTGTAATAATTGTGTTTGACGTGGATGTCTTATACACATCCAGGTATATTTTAATCATCATCATTTTAGTCATTTCACGTAGAATTAGTAACTTCAGTATATTTTACATTTATACTTTCTATTATTTGTAATAATTGTGTTTGACGTGAATGTCTTATACACATCCAGGTATATTTTAATCATTCTAGTCATTTCATATGTATATTCATTTTCTTGAATCATTTCTCTACTTGAATTTATTGACGTTTTTGTCTTTTTTATTTGCATTATCACACTGTTGATGTGAAAATCAATTTGTGAAAATAAGGGAATTATTTCAGTGTCATTGCTTTTCGAGTTTGAAAGCCGTGGATTTTTGGAATTTCTTCCTGACGTTTCGCTGGCGCGAGTGGCTAGCTTCTTCAGAAGTTTATCCATCATGGCTTGCTGTCCGATGACTACCTTTTAGGCTTCATAAAGTGTATTTTTGCCTTGCCTTGTGGCTACGTTACGTGGATGGCGCCTTCATCATCTGGAAACATGGAAGAGATGCCCTGAACCGTTTCCTAAACCACTTGAACGTCCAACACCCGAGCATAGAATTCACCATGGAGATTGAGCAGTACCAACGGATAGCTTTCCTAGATGTACGAGGAGAACGATGTGGTACCAGACTAACCCACAAAGTTTATCGAAAACCCACACACACACAGATAGATACTTGCACGCACTATCGAACCAACATCCCAGCCAAAAGAGAGGAGTCATCTCCACTCTAACGAAACGGGCTCGGAGAATATGTGAACCAGAACATCTGGAGAGGGAACTGAAATACCTTGAAGTGACCTTGAGATCGAATGGGTACAGTGCTTCCGAGACCAGACAAGCCATGAAACCGAAGGGCATCATGGTTCAAAACGCGAAAAAGGATCAGATGGTTGCACGCGCATATCTACCGTTTATCCCTAGGGTCACGGACAGAATTGGAAAATTATTGGGCAAACACGACATCGAAACAGTCTTCGAACCCACGAGGAAGATACAACAAAGCCTCAGGTCGGCTAAAGACAAAAGAGACCCATTATCAGCAGCAGGGGTCTATCGCATACCGTGCACTTGTGGAAAGGTATACATCGGAACCACCAAACAATCCATGGGAACAAGACTTAAAGAGCAAAAAAGGAACTGCAGACTAGGCCAAACGGACAAGTCAGCTGTGGCAGAACATGCACTTAGTGAAGGAGACCACAGAATTTTGTTTGAAAACACAGAATTAATTGCTCCCAACCAGGGATACCATAGCCGACTGGTACGGGAGGCAATAGAGATCCACAAACACATGGAGGATTTCAACAGAAAAAAAGAAGTGGTGAACCTCAATGGAATATGGAACCCCATTTTGAGGAATTCGAGAATAACGAACAGGACAACAGGCAGCGAGATTGTTAATGTTCGAGGTTCAAGTGCAGGTACGAGTACCGGTACAAGTGTAGGTACAAGTACAGGTTCAAGTATAGGTACAAATACAGGTACAAATACAGGCACAAATACAACTGATTACCTGACAAGGCATAAATACGCTTTACGAAGCCTAAGAGATAGTCATCAGACAGCAAGCCATGATTGTTAAACCTCTGAAGAAGCTAGCCACTCGCGCCAGCGAAACGTCAGGAAGAAATTCCAAAAATCCACGGCTTTCAAACTTGAAAAGCAATGACACTGAAAACCTCTGCCGTGAAAGTCTAAACCATTTTGTCAAAGGAATCATTATTTTTATAAACAATCGCCTGTGCTCTGGTTCTCAAAAGAACCATTTTTATATTTGTGATGCACTGTTTGGAACCTTTGGTGTAGTAATGCATATCACTGGAGTTTTTTCCCAACGCCAAACCGTTATTTTCAACACCTCGACACGTGTTTCGATCACCAATGGATCATCTCCAAGAGGAAGATCAAACTCTTCCTGTTGAAGATCACTTGGTGATTGAAACACGTGTCGAGGTGTTGAAAATAAGAGTTTGGTATTGGGATACAACTCCAGTAATATCACCAATGGATCATCTCCAAGAGGAAGATCAAACTCTTCCTGCTGAAGATCACTTGGTGATTGAAACACGTGTCGAGGTGTTGAAAACAAGAGTTTGGTATTGGGATACAACTCCAGTAATATCACCAATGGATCATCTCCAAGAGCAAGATCAAACTCTTCCTGTTGAAGATCACTTGGTGATTGAAACACGTGTCGAGGTGTTGAAAATAACGGTTTGGTGTTGGGATACAACTCCAGTGATATTCTATTAAAAAGTTCATTGAATTGCCTGAATGTCATGAAACACAACGAGTGAGATATGTGTATAATATTCAGTCCGTTTTCTGATAATTGACAGTTTTGAGCAGCAGGGACTCGAATAATTTCAACGCGGCTCCACTTCATCTATGAAACCTTCGTCTGAGAGAAAGTAGTTGTTTACCGTCAGGTATTTACCAGAATCTACGATACAGTTACTTTCGGAGAGAGGAATGTTTCGAAATGGAATATCTGATATCCACAATATCCATATTTTTCAATGTCATTCTGTGATTTCGTTCAGTTTTTCAGGATGTGAATTACAGAGTGTTACCGTCAAAAGGACTGCTTTCGAAAACCTGTATCTTTTTTTTGGGCTAATTATCTCGAATGTATCTAATATAAACGCCTTCAATTCACAAGTTAGACTCTGCAGATGAAAATTCTTGAATTGCCTGCCAAAAGAATAGAATAGACTTGGTATGACAGCAGAGCAAGGGGAGTTGAGCCACTGGAGGCCTTACGTCTCGGGGGAGGTTTTAACAAATCGTCCAAACTGAAGGTTCGTGAGGTGGCGGGTTCGTAGCCACTGGCGTGTGGGCTGGTCAGGCTGAGAATTGACGGCTTTCGAATACCCAAACGGCCGAACAGAGATCGGGGTGTGGTTCCTGGTCCTGGACTTGGGGTGATGGCAGCTCCGGATGCCGCTGCCAGTTGTTCTCGAACCGAAGAACTTCTCAGAGATGACGCTGAAAAATGAATGAACGATTTGATACTCAAATATTGATATTCAAATATGAACTTGAAGTATATTGGAAAAAATATCTGTCAATATTCTGAAGAAGATTTCAAATCTGAACTTGAACTAGATATAAGATGAACTCAGTTGAATCTATGTCAAAAAATCGACGAACGTATACAGGGTGTGACAGAAAGGTAGGTCATGAATTGAACCACATATTTTGGGGTCAGAAATAACTCGATTTGTTATAACTTTCATTAATGCAAATTTGTACACAAAAAAGTTATAGGCATTAAAAGTATGAAATGAAAATCGATTTTTGATAATATTTCATGGCTGATAAATAGCTTCCTTATCGTGAAAGCATATTTTTCATATAAAACTACGAAATATGTTCAGCGCCAAACTGAGCTATGCGTTACAATAAAATAAGTATTGTGACACCTTCGATTCAATACATCATTTTTGAATTTTTTTGGACACGTAGCACTTTTTCAATAAGCCAGTTTTCACCGAGATTCGGATTCATTTTCATTATCCTTTGGAAATTCTTCAGTTGGTTGTTCAACTTACCTGTTCTCTTTGTAGTAAATGTTCAAGAGGTAGCGAAAACGTATGTTAATTTCTGGAACTTCAAGTAGCGAACATCAAGCAAAGCTTATTGTTAAATCATCTGAAAATGGAACTTTCAACAGGTGATGATTGACTATATTGCCAAACATGCGCCAAACTAACTGACTGTTATTGGATAACAAGTATAGCTGAGGCACCAGTCAATCTAATAATAACACTGATGATCTTCAAACATAACTCAACCTCTGACGGAAGCATCAAACTCTTACGAAGGTTCGAAATTGATGAACACTTCAATGTAGCAGACCACTATTATAATCTTCATGCAATCATTGTTGACTATGTTTCTGGCGTTGAATCTGGTCATTATTACGCATTGGTCAAAGACGAAATGGATTGGTTTAAGTTTGACGTCACTAAGTCATATCACTAAGTGTTTTGGCGATGTATTGAATTTATTGGAGCCTCTGGAGACACCCTACATTTTGTTTTATGAGAGAGAAAGGACATTGGCAGATCAAGATCTTCAGAAGATGTGGTGCTGCAGGTTTTTCCGGGTTTTCCTGCAGCTGAAAAAGCAAATGAGCCACTGGAATCAATAAAGTCGCCCCGGAGCGCCAATTGATTTTTGTTGTTGTTTTATAATTCCATGATTTGTATTTTGGAAGTGTTCAACACTTGTAGTTCCTACAAATGAATAACAAACAGTTGCTTCAACAATTACATACTGTCATTTGTGACACAATTGGTTCAATACATCATTTTCAATTTTATTTACATCGTAGTACTTTTTCTGAAAAGCCGGTTTCTATCGAGATGCTGCAAAATTCAAAGTAACAAAAAGGAAGTTGAAATAACTGAGTATTCATGTTATTTGAAGTTACAAAAATATGTACAAATGCGTGGTATCCTGAAATAAGTGTTCAAAATGGCATTCATCTTCCTGAATTTGGCACAGTTTTGAAAAGAACAACCGATTTTTTCGAAAGATCACACGTTGAAAGGTAAGACCTCGTTAGTCCTTAGCTTGCACAAGTTTAGATTTCTGAGGGTTATCGTTCATAGGGGTGCGATAGCTGGTTTACCAGAAAACATATTTTGAACTTTTTTTTTCCTGATGGAATCGATTCGCACTATCAATGGTTCGATGCCTCAGTTGTTGTTTTGCCGATTATTTCAACAGAATATTCTTCCTCTTTCATGAATTCTCAGAAGTAAATGTCAATGGGATCAGGATCTGGACTTCTGGCTGGCCAAGAGATCAGGGCCAAGTGCATCAGGGCCCCTTCCATTCCAACGTCCAGAGAACAGACCAAAATATATTCTCTAACTCCATTAACGAAATGTGATGGAACTCTATCTTGTGAATACCACATATTTTGCCTTTCTACAAAATCAACCTTTCCCACGTATTCTGGTGTATCATTTTGAAGGGACTGTAAGTAATTTGCACCATTTGAATTATTTGAATGGAATACTGGTGCATGTAACAATACCTGGACAAATAATAACTCCAAGAGTCTTTTGGTGATGAGTCGTTTTTCTGCATGAGGGTTTTCTGCGACCCATATGTGTGTGTTATAGGGATCCGTTATGCCATTTCTATCAAAGGTAGCTTCATTGGTGAATAAAATATAATAAAATGGATATTTAGATTTGTTTCCGTTGTGAACCACTTGCAAAATATTATTCTTTTGAGATGATCTCCATATAGTAATTTTTGAACGGTTGTTGAGTAATAGGGATGAAGCTGCTGTTTCTTCAATCTTCTCCAAACCATCATGAGATCAATATCTAATTGAGCAGATGTTTTCCTTGTACAAATTCTGAAATCTCCTTATCGTTTGTATATATTTTGGTACGACCACTTGCAACTTGCGGTCGCAAAGTACCCATCTTCCGTAAACAACGATCAATACAAAGAAAACATCATATGTTTGGTGTATTCCAACTGGGACAGTTCAGCATACATTGGATAGGAAATAAAATAAATTGAAAATGTTGCTGTAACAACACACTCACCACTTCTATTCCTGCTGTCTTCTTCAGCTAACAGCTTTTCAATTTTCTCCGGAAAATGTCGTTTCGCACACCAAACTAATCCAATCACTCCCATCACCACAAATACTGTCATCAGTCCTAGCCAAAATGGTTCATGGAGCATTCTCTCTGTCAACGGTTTGAAAGGTATGTGCGACATCCTCTTCTCACATCTGGAAAACGGAAACTTATAATAATAATAATGATAAATCGAGTTTATTCATCATCATATACAAAAGAATACATAGCATTGACAGTAAGAAACTATTTCAATAAATGATGAATTGGCGAGGGTTCGGCCTGAGCTGGTAGGGTACAACCCTACCATGAGAAAAGGAGTGTCTACAACTATAATCGTAATACAAAAATCTATAAAGGTGTGGTTATCAATATTATCAGTTCGAATTTCCTTTAAATTTGATTTTCAATCTTTTCTTGAAATTCTGTACACTGAACGACTTATATTCATTCGGCAATTGGTTATAGAGCCTGGCGGAATTGTAAAAAAACTGCGAGTTTAAATGGAACTGTGATGTTTTGGGATTACTAAGATATCGTGTCCAAGAGTTGGGTATGCTTGTTTGTAAACAACCTCAATATCTCACAAAGATAAGCTGGTTTTTGTGTCAGAAGGGTTTTGTGGGTACCTGTGAGGAGGTGTAGTTTTCTCGTATTCAGCATTGAAAGTCAACCTTATTTTTTCATTTTGTGGCTAATGTGGTCAAATTTTCGACATCCGTATGGTTACCTTATGCAAGCATTTTGTATTCTTTGCAGACGGACGGAACCGCATAGGTGTAAGGAAGGCCCATAAACACTGTCACAATATGAGAGCTTTGAAAAAATGGGACTTCCGCATAATGTCGGCTTCATCTTTGTGATGAAGGTCACGATTTGGGTACAATTTTCTGAGAGTATTATATGATACCTTACATAAGTTGCTGACATGCCCCGAAAATATCAGCTCCCTGTCTAGATACAAACAAGATTCCGGCACTCCTTGACCTGAAGGACGTAGTCATTTTCAATTTTGATTCTTATCTGTCCAATGGCTGAATTTCTGCACGACGTACGACCCAAAATCATGAAAGAACTTATTGAAAGGAAAGGATATGATGGTCTTATTTTGTTCTTTTATGAAACCAACTACTTATTTACCTATACCTGGGTTGTCCCAGAAGTACCCAGTCTGACCTAGAGATGCCGGTAGTTTTCCGAGAAATATCTCGGTATTAGAAAGTACACAACCTATAAAGCATATGTTTCAACTTTGAAGACGCTGCGTTGTTTAGTATTTGTTTGACAGCCATCAATAGCGAACGTTTTCGGTGAATTTGTGAAAATGGAAAAGATTGGTCATCGTTATGTCTGTTTAAAGAAAAATCTGATTTTCCGTTAATCAGCTGTCGCCCCCATATGAACGAAAACTCTCAAAAGTTGAGAAACTTTTGCGAGCTAAGGACTAACGAGGTCTTACCTTTTAACGTGTGATTCCTAACAGCAGTTAGGATACTCCCATCACAACAAATACTGTCATCAGTCCTAGCCAAAATGGTTCATGGAGCATTCTCTCTGTCAAAGGTTTGAAAGGTATGTGCGACATCCTTTTCTCACATCTGAAAAACGGAAATTTATAATAATAATAATGAATCGAGTTTATTCAATATCATATACAATAGAATACATAGCATTGACAGTTATACACTATTTCAATAAATGATGAATTGGCGGGGGTTCAGCCTGAGTTGTTTTTCAACCCTACCATGAGAAAGGGAGTGTCTACAACTATAATCATGATACAGAAATCTATAAAGGCAATCGAACAGATGTGTGTGGTTATCAATATTGTCAGTTCGAATATCCTTTAAATTTGATTTTCAATCTTTTCTTGGAATTCTGTAGACTGAACGACTTATATTCATTCGGCAATTGGTTATAGAGCCTGGCGGCATTGTAAAAAAACTGCGAGTTTAAATGGAACTGTGATGTTTTGGGATTACTAAGATATTTTTATATCGAGTCCGAGAGTTGGGTATGCTTGTTTGTGAACAACCTCAATCTCTCACAAAGATAAGCTGGTTTTCGTGTCAGAAGGGTTTTGTGGGTAACTGTGAGGAGGTGTAGTTTTCTCATATTCTGCATGGAAAGCCAACCTGATTCTTTCATATTGTGGCTAATGTGGTCAAATTTACGACATCCGTATGAGTACCTTATGCAAGCATTTTGTATTCTCTGCAGACGGACGGAGCCGCATAGGCGTAAGGAAGATCCATAAACACTGTAACAATATGAGAGCTTTGAAAAAATGAGACTTTCGCATAATGTCAGCTTCATCTTTGTGAAAAGAAGGTCACTATTTGGGTACAATTGTCTGAGAGTATTATATGATACCTTACATAAGTTGCTGACATGTCTCAAAAATCTCAGCTCACTGTTCAGATACAAACCTAGATTCCGGCACTCCTTGACCTGAGGGAGGTAGTCATTTCCAATTTTGATTCTTATCTGTCCAATGGCTGAATTTCTGCACGACGTACGATCCAAAATCATGAAAGAAGTTATTCGAAGGAAGGAAAATTAAACCTATACCTGGGTTGTCCCAGAAGTACCTAGTCTGACCTAGAGATGACGGTAGTTTTTCGAAAAATATCTCGGCATTAGAAAGTACACAACCTATAAAGCATATGTTCCAAGTTTGAAGACCTGCGTTGTTTAGTATTTGTTTGACAGCCATCAGCGAACGTTTTCGGTGAATTTGTGAAAATGGAAAAGATTGGTCATCGTTATGTCTGTTTAAAAAAAAATCTGTTTCAAAATCTGTTTTTCCGTTAATCAGCTGTCGCCCCCATACGAACAACAACTCTCAAAAGTTGAGAAACTTGTGCGAGCTAAGGACTAACGAGGTCTTACCTTTCAACGTGTGATTCCTAACACGGTTGCAGAATAATCCCAGCTTCAACCAGATACATTCTTTCGAGAAAAATATCTGGTCGAGGCGGGAATCGAACCCACGGCCTTCTGATCGTTAGTCGGGCGCACTACCACCGCGCATCGCAGTGGTCGACCAAATGAAATGACGACTCCAGAAATGGTGAAGAAAATCCACAAAGCGGATGATCGTAAATTAAGAGTGCAGACTTAGCAGACTTAGTGCAGACTTAGCAGGTATTTCAAAAAATGCGGTACATCGTATATTATCTGAAAATTTGGACATAAGAAAGATGTGTGCAAGATGAGTGCCGCGTTTGCTCACACTCGAGCAAAAACAGTGCCATGAAGATGTTTCAATTGAGTGTTTAGCGAAGATTCACAGTGACAAAGTAGACTTCTTGCGTTGTTTCATAGCCATGGTTGAAACATGGTTCCATCACTTCACACCCAAGACAAAAAAAAAAATCACAAAATAGTGGACTCAAAAGAGACGTCCGGCTCCAAAGAGAAGGCGAAGACCGTTTCATCTGCAGGCAAGGCGAGTATCAACGGCGAGTATTATGCGAACTTATTGCAACGTTTGAGTGAAGAAATCAAGCAAAAACGGCCGCATCTGGCTGAGAAAAATGTATTGTTTCATTGAGATAATGCACCAGCTCACAAATCCGTTATCGTAATGACGTGCGTGTCACCAACCAAGTTGACGTCTCTGTGAAATGAAGGAAACTGGTTTCTTTCAGTTTTTTGTACATTTCTGGTTATTGGAAAAAGTCGTTATTTTGGATTTATTCCACGCCAAGGATTCCAGTTTTATCTTTCATTCATGAAGGAGGTTTATTAAATAAACTACCTGGAAATTTTCAGGAAGTAACGGATTGTGAAAGTTACCATAAGTGTTTTTCGTGGCACTGAATAATATTCTGTGGGCTACCTGTTGACAGATGCTGTATAGCGCTGTTTAATGAATCTAGTAGCCAACAATTATAACAAGATATCACTATCAACTATTGAAATAACAATCTGGGGAAAATCGAACAAAGAAGAAAGAATATTGAAAGAGAGGCACCTGAAGAATGTACTACAGAAGTTATGGCCAGTTTGATGTCTGAAATTTCAAAAAATTTATCGAATTTTAAAGTAGAACCCATGTATATTCAATGAATTGATACTTTGAGATTTCCTATAGTTGCAAGAGGTCGCTGTAACAAAGATCTTGGAAGAAGCAGTTGCAGTTGGGGTTAACATGTTAAATTGTCAATCATAAACATATAAAGTTTCTTGAGAATGAAGCATCACCATCAGTAAAAATTGAACGCAGCAATGAAACTGAAAAATACATAACGGTTAAGCGAATGCCAGAAAGTTCCACATGAGTTGGTTCAATGGAGAAATCATGAAGAAAATCTTGTGAATTTCATTTATTAATTGAGTAATGTGGGTATCCATTGAAGATCAAGAGCAAAAGTTTCTCATTTCTTCAAATTTTGATCCTGTTAACAAACCTAGGACGCCTTGTGGTACAGCCAGAAAGCAATTTATTGTCTCATCAAGAGCAGGATATCGTACCAAATTTTCCAACGACAGGAGCAGATTCTGCACCAGGAGAGAAAACAAACTTTTCCGGAGCAGGTCGGCAAACGTTTGCTTTCAAACTAGTATCTACCCAAATCAGAGGTCAACAATTTTTCAAGGCTGAGTCTGATGTAACGTCCAGTATAGCTGTCTTAGGTGCCCTCATATGGAGATTTAGATTGGGTCATTGAGGTGGAATCTTACAGCTTGTATGGACAAACTCAATATCGACCAATTGAACGGAATTGTTTCAGTATGCCATAATGGCTACTATCGATGATTTTCCAGATGATGGTCTACAAGTACAATTCCAGAGCTGCACATACAGTAATCTGCTATTTGTTTCGCTTACTTACATAACATTTATAGTCGCAGACTGACCGCCGAACAGGACCTCATTGAATTGAGGGAAATATACCATGAACTAGCAACCTTGGAGTGAATTAGAACTCAGAAAATTCAAGCCCTGGTAACGACTTTTACTTTGTGCCTGCCCAACCACAGATCGGACCGATTTTTCAGCGTTTTGCAGATAGATACAGTCACCAAAATGAAGTAATTGGCTCCGTTGAGGAGCTGGATTCATTTGATCGAATTTGAAAAGGTGTGAGCCAGCATAAACTCCCGCCGGATGCGGTAGAGAGCCAAATAGATACAGCAACTTCACCTGTCTAGCTGTTTTTACTTTCACGAAGTGGTACATCAGTCACTCAATAAAATACAGTGAGGAAGAATTGTGTATTTTTGGAAAGTCTTCAAGCAATACTTCATTTGAGATCTGAACCAGTCCTATGAGCTCTATTTCCGAAATGAGTCACATCAGTATCACTCATGTCTTTCCAAATCTCATCGGCGAGATAAGGCCTCCAAGAAGCAGGAAGTGAATTTGAACCAGTGAGACCTATGGAAAAGATCTTTGAAGGGAGCCGAAGAAAGCAGTTACTAGAAACCCTAAACCCAATGAGGTTATTTTGTTAAAAAGCTCCAAGTGGCTATGACTGTAGTTGTTTACAACAATATAAAAACTCAGAAACAAATCCAATGTCCTCATATTTATAAATCCTGTGTACCTCAAATAACGACTTCTAGTCGGCTACAGCAGAATAACTCAGCAGAAAATCGGGAGAATAACCGCAATTTATAACATTGAACTACGGGTTGGCTGTCATTGTCCATCTTTCACTGCCTGAACCACTGTGCATACTGTTTTTGGCTAGTGCATTGGCTTGGGATGTGAGGGTTGAGCAAATCGGCAATCAGATGCTTGCTTCCACGTAGCCCCGCTGGATACGAAAATGACAGAATTACTTGTGGTTCTGTTATTCCCTAACTGAATGGCATCCCAACGATGGCTTAATCCCAAGGTGTGTGTATCCTGTGTATCCGTGCCGAGACGATGAATAACACTGAGCCTATCAGCTCTCTCTACGGAACCTTTAAGATACCAGGCGCCCTGTCGTCATAGTATCGCCTTGTCATGGTGATGCGGGGCTCTGCCGTGACCTTCTTTCCGTAGCTACTCGTGGGACTTTTACGAACAGAGTAAATTTAAAAATTCTTTCTGTCGCTGACTTTATAGAGGATATGGATGTCAAATTAACGACTCTCACTGACGTCCCTGTAAATTCAGTTCAGGAACGAGTCTTTAGAGGAGATTTATGTCGATTTCACGACTCCAAATGACCTCTCTGTGAATTCAGTTCAGGAGTGAGTCTACAGAGGAGATGAATGTCGAGTTTACGACTCCTACTGACCTCCCTGTAAATTTAGTTCAGGAGCGAGAGCTTCTTAAGTTTACGACTCCTACTGACCTCCCTGTAAATTTAGTTCAGGAGCGAGAGCTTCTTAACTCCCCAACTCTTGATCCAATAACGAAACCTAAAAAAAAAGGTTGGTGGTGCAGCCAGGAAACGACTGAGTCGTCTCCTCAAGAGCCGGGGTAACTTATAACACCGCCTTGCATAAAATTCTTGAGCGGCGTACGCAGAATCTCTCTCAGATGGGGAAACAAACCCCCCCACGAGCGGATTTAGCACCTGTTTGCGCTCAAGTGATGATTCACCAAAACCAGGGTCGAAAAGCCCTGCACGATTGAATCTAAGACATCGTCAGGTGTAGCTGACGTGCAAAAACCCTCATATGGGAAGGTTGTCGCGGTATCAAGGTGGGAATCTTGCACCTTGACTATCCGACTACCTCATTAACGATAAAACAGCAGAGCGTATACTTTGTGCCTGCCCCGCTGGAGACCATCTGACCTGAAAGACCACTCACCATACAAACTAATCGGCTTCGTCACGAAGCTGGGTTTACTTGGTCGAGTGTGAATAGGTGTGAGCCAAAATAAACCCTTGCGGGTTGCGGTGGAGGGTCGAATACACCCACTCACTTTGGAACTAACCTAACATAACCTAACGACTTACCTTTGTCCTTCCCACCAGGCATGGCACTGACACAGATAGCTGTCCCCTCTTTCAATACATGTGCCGCGACTCTCACATGGATTGCCCTCACATGGACGCCGTTTTTGGTCGCAAGTAGGGCCGTTGTATCCTGTGTTACAGTGACACTTGTAACTTGAGTCTGTCAGTTCACATACCCCGAAAGCACATGGTTCCAGTTCACATTTTGTGAGAGCACAAAATAGACCTGAATAAATATACATGTATAAGTTACACATTTGAGACCTACGTACATTTGATTAGCAATTTTTTTATTTTCTTATGTTGGTACACTTGTCTCGAATTCATGTTCACAGTGTCAGCTGTTTAGCATATTGAGTTTGTTGATGAAAGGCATGAAAATATTTTGCATGTTCGGCGATTTTCTGCTATCGAACAAAATTGATCGAAGAAATGGCATTGAATTTTGTGTAAAAAGTGGACTGAAGTGCTCTTAAACACTGGAAATGCGAGCTTTCCACAGAAGGCTGAGAAGGTGTGGATGGCGACGCACATTCTGGACGCCTCAACACATCAACAACTGATGAAAATAATGGGAAAATGAGGAAAATTATTATGATGAGTCGTCGAATCACTATTCATTTATTCATTTATTTTTTCATTCACAGCTTTGGCAACTCAACAAAACAAAAGTTTCAATTATAAAGTCGCACAGTCGCATTATTTTCAAAGAGTTGAGCTAGATCAGAATAAAGGTAATTATTTACAAATGAAAATAAAAATACAGTTACCCTACCTAGTGCATAGTATGTTTAACAAGATAATCGCACTTTTGAAAGGGGTAAGTGAGATAGGTCAACAGAGGAAAAAGTGGAATTGTATATTTGTTGCACACGTAATATTGGAGCGTTTAAGAAATAATTACTACTTGCTGGAGACAACTTGAATAAATCACCATTGCGCATGGAATAAACATTTGCCTTGAACGATATCACCACCACCAAGAAAGCTCGGATACGTCGATTTCTAATTAAAGGAGGACACCTTTCAGGCTAATCAGATTTTTTGTAGTACGCACCCCCTCGGAGGGATGCGTCCGACGACTCTTATTTAGATAGGGAAAGTAGGTCGAGTGGCACTTTGTTTTAAAGGTCTTTCAAATACCTTTACAACTCTGTTAAAAAAAAATTTGTAACGATTAGTTTTCGAGATAATTTGAAGTTAAAATTGTGGTCTGTCTAATGTATCTTAATAATACATTATACAAACCACTTGGTAACTTGTATGCCTACATAAAAAAAATTTTCGAACACTTCTTCTAATCAGTTTTTTGTTAAATAAAATCCCTTTTTTAAAATCAATACCCACTCCTCTTCTTCCAGTTTTCATTAGTACATCGTTCAATTGTTTTGTTTAAACAGGTCGTGTATTGTTATTTGTTTAAAAATGCCTTACACTACTGCTGAAAGGGTTTCAGTTATTGCTTTATTTTTTGGTAACGACCAAAATGCTAATAGAACATCAATTTTATTTAACGAGCAAAATCCTGGTAAACATCTAAGCAGCAATTACGTTCTGGATTTGGTCACAAAACTCAGGGAAACAGGTTCGGTTTTGAATAAGAAAAGAAATGTTCAGAAAAGGGTAGTAAATGATGATAATGCGATTGGAGTGATTGGTCAAGTCATCGCCAATCCCAGGTTAAGTACCAGAGGTTTACCAGCAATGGCCGGAATAAGCCATATGAGCGCATGGAGAATCCTGAAAAACCACAAATTCCATCCTTACAAATTCAAACTTGTTCATGAACTCAATGAGGATGATTTTGACCTAAGACAGGAGTTTTGTGAGGGCATGAGTGAGAGATTATTGCAAAATCCCGAGCTGCTTTATAACATCTGTTTTTCAGACGAAAGCTCATTTTATTTGAATGGTTGCGTGAACCGTCACAATTGCCGTTATTGGTCGGATGAAAACCCAAGACAATACGCAGAAATACGTAACCAACATCTCCAAAAGTTGAATGTCTGGGCCGGAATATTAGGCAATCATATTCTAGGTCCATTTTTCATTGATGGAAATTTAACCGGTGATTCTTATTTACAACTTCTTGAAGAGGCAATACAACCTCGTATAGTTGAAATAATTGAACAGGATCCAAGATNGCTAAGGATTAACGAGGTCTTACCTTTTAACGTGTGATTCCTAACACGGGTTGGACGATAGCAAGTGAAGATCGATCGTTCAGACTAGGGCTTGAACCACCGACCAACATGGCAGTCAATTCGAGTTAGTGAACAAAGCACCCACGCCGAACCGCTTGGCTACCGACCTTACTTGGTGATCGAAACACGTTTGTTGAAATGACGGTTTGGTGTTGGTGCATCACAAGTAAGTAGCTCAACTCGTGAATATAATTCACATTTTCGTTTCCATTGGTAGTGAACTACCCACATTATGAAATAAAAATTACTGGCTTTTCAAAAACGTTAATGTGTTTTGAAAATTCGCGAAGATTTTAACATAGTCGATAGCTGTCGAACAAAGGATAATAATCCAAATCTCAACTCACCTGTGAAATGTCCAACGCAGTGGCAAAACTTCTTCATTTTTTTCATGATACATTTACCCCCATTTTCGCACGGATTCGGTGAACAAGATTCAACTTGCCCTTCTTTGTGATTCAATAATTTCAGCTTATACTTATTATCGTACATCACCTTCAGTGTTCCATTCAGAGTGACTCCAAGTGGACCATTGAGTTGCCTAAGATGGATAGTATTCAGAAACGACAAGATGTAAATTGGGGTGCTACTAATAGAAGGATCAATCATGTCATGATCTTGACACAATTTCCAAATGGTCCCATTATTATCGGAATAGTTATCAATGATTTCGATGAAACCTGTACGATTGGAACACTCAGTATAACTTAGTTTCATGTTGTACAGTTCCAAGGAAATAACGCTGCCCAGTGGCGCGATGAAGTGTTGCAGGAAATCAACTTCAGCAGGAGGATTCCCAGGAAAGTTCAGGTTCAGGAGAATTCCGGAAGTATAGTTACCGAGCATTATGACTTTTTCTTGGTGAACAGGATTCATGATTCTGTACGACGCCCTGAAGCCAGGACCCAAGGGATGATCGCCTGTTTGAAGCCTCAGTTTCAACCTATCATCAGATGATATGAAACTTCCTTCTGTCAGAAGACTGCCAGTTTCGAATGGTTTCAGAAGTGGAGTGTGCCTCCCTAGTACGAGTTCCAAGTCAAAATCTTCATATTCCGAAATGACTTCATTTATATCGTTTTCATCGGGGAAAAATTCCAGCCATATCCTCTTCCCAGCGGGTGCAATGATGGTCACTGTACAATCCAGGTGTGGGAGAAGGAAATCAGGGTAATTCGGAGTCATGAGGATTCCCTCCTTTGCCGTCAAAGTTTGTGTAGGACACACTGATACGTCAACGGCATACCAGAGTAACGAAAACCCCTTTCCGGCTATGGAATAATCAGAATGAAAGTCCAATTCAGCTATATTTGTTTCAGAAACGAAGTTAAATCTATCCATTTCTGTTTCGTGATTGCCACAAAACTTCATGGCGTCATTAAACGTTCTTTTTTTATTCTTGAAAATGGATTTGATGTTGATGTAGTCGTATAAACAATCCAGCTGTGGCTCAATATCTATTTTCACAAATTTGATGATTATTCTTGTTTTTTCAGGGCCTACTATTCTGACAGAGAAGTCCAAGTTATTGAAGTAATAACTGGGGTAGTTAGGGGTGGTTAAAGTACCTTCTGTGCCATCTAGGGTTTTGTTATAATTGAAAGAGGTACTGAGCAGCTGGTGTTGTTTCTTGCAGATGTAACCACCTGAAAATGAAGAAAAGGAAAACTTTATTTGAACTCAGCCTGTTGAAAGATGAGGTCTGATGAATAATACACAAACTTTAATGGATTCATAATAGAACATGAGGTGGAAAGTTTGGGTCCTCACACATAGATGGCTCTTGTCTGATCGCATTCACCACTTTTTCAGTTAGTACGGAAGAAAACTGTTGAAATTTCATGATATTCTAATCATAAGTTTGTGAGTTATTATGCTGAAAGGGATACTATTTTTGTTATTTTCAAAACAATGGTTCAGAAAAAATTTCGTGTTATAATTTCACACTGCTTCTTGATAGGAAAAAATACCGTCCAAGCAAAGCAATGGCTTGAAATGAGCTGATATTATGAACGTATTGAAAAAACGTGATGGCTTCATATTTCATGAGCATTTGACTATGAGAAACCTCTGTTCAACACTCATAATTTCTAACTGTTTTTTGGTTCATATCCTTCCACAATTTGGAAAATGAACGAAACTGAATGTATAGAGTATCTTCTGAAGTGCAATAAAGGAAAACTGAAAAAATTACTGCGAAAAGATTCACACTGCTCAGGAGTATATGAGCTGACTTGTGGTTCTTGCCCAAAATCATATATTGGCCAAACAGGAAGAACATTTCCCCAAAGAATTGAAGATCATAGAAGTAGTTTATTACTCTGAATGTTTATATTACTTTACATTAGCCTCATACACGTATGTATATCCGTGATATCACTTCATTCACAATCTGTACACTATATTGCTGTGAATAAATCATTATTATTATTACTTTTTTCACCGTAGTGTATGCTGGTCAGGCCCTATCCCCCGAAGCCCCGATACATTCGGGAGGGCGCGCCAGCATTATCAACCAATGACCACTCCACACACCGTGTGGTTAGTGATCATTGGATCCGAGAATCATGTTCCCTGAGCAAGCGCAGTGAGCCAAGAATGACAGTCATCTGCATCTGTGCGGCAAGCCGTTATGATTTCAAGATTAGAGAGTAGAGAGAGTAGAGAGGACATCATTCCATCAAAGACTCCAATAATCCGAACAACCATCTTGACAGAGTTATCTGGATAGAGTCTGCGTAGTTCGAAGAGAAAATCTCGCTATTTTATCCGTTTATTTTATCCGTTTTTCCTCCTCTTTTCTGACGATATTCGTCTCGCCAGGAGCTGAAAACTCCACGACAAATATCGTTTTGGTCTGGTGGTCGAGAAGGACTACATCAGGCTCATTAGCTTGTATGAGCCTGAGGGTGGGGAACGAATAGTTCCAATAAATTCGGCACTTCTCGTTACCCACAACGGATTCAATATCTCCCGGTGTCTCGTCAATACCGTGAGAGTGCCGTAGATGGTAGTATAGCACTCTAAGGGCCGCGTTATGTCGATGGATATAGGCCGAGATCGCATATGCTGTACATATGCCCTTGCTGGACCCTAATGCACTTGCTGATAGCAAGTGCATTAGGGTCTCGGGCGTCTCGCTATAGGTCCTGCACCTTATGACAGGAACCTTTATACCCATCCCGCGACTGCGGTAGACTGAGGTGTTGAATACACCATTCTGTCAAGCCATGATGAAATCCTCGGTTTCCGACTTCAGCCCACTCGACATGAGAAAAGCGAACTTCAGGCGCTTTGATAAGCCAAGGTCTACAATGTTATTGAAGAAGACCCCATGCATTGGCTTATCCTTGTGTCTCAGCAGCAGTAAGGTGATCTCTGCGGCTTTTGTTTGATCATTTTGCTGAACGGGTTCCAACTCGGTGACAGAGTTGTGGTCACCTCGTTCAGAGTCGAAAACTAGATGCCTTAAGGAGAAATGCTCCAATTCCTGCTCTCTCATGGTAACTGAACATGCAGAAAAAGGGATCCGAACTCCTGACGACTTTACAGGCTTTATCCAGTACCATTCTTTCATGTCTGTCACTCCAAACTCGTAAGTCCACGGCCTTCTTGTTGTCGGGAGAAGTAGAACCGTGGAACGGACGATTTGGGATGCAAACTCCTATAGAGATGCATCATTTTTCGGGTCTTTACGTCGAATTGATACAGCTCCTCCCGAGTCCACTTCAAACGAGCAGATCTGTCGAAGTTTGTGCTGATACTTGCCGCGGAGAGAGTTTTTCACCGATGTTACCTCTTGTGAGTGGCGTTGTTCCACCCCGAAGTAAGTATACGTCTCTCCGGTATCCAGATGGTGTAGGATGCTTCCATTATTATTATCATTATTATTTCACCGTAGTGTGCGCTGGTCAGGCCCTATCCCCCAAAGCCCCGATACATTCGGGAGGGCGCACCAGCATTATCAACCAATGACCATTCCCCACACCGTGGGGTATGTGATCATTGGGTGCAAGAATCATGTGTCCCGAGCAAGCACATATTATGTAAATGGTAGAATATGTAGAATATAGTTAGTAAAGACACGCCTGAAAAAATCGTTGTATGGCGAAACATGAGTTGCGTTTTTGTAAAAATGTTCAGTGTAAATCTCATAATGAAGTGTGGTTTGAATACGTTGCTATGTTTTTTATAGTCATGAATGAAACAATTTGTGAAGTATTGTATAATTCACAATCAGAAGGAGTTAAAACAGTTTCCTGGAATACACCTCCTGAAATGTCGGCATCAATTGAATTAAATAGCAATACCAAATACAAACCTCTTGCACCGCACTGATGCACTTTCCAATACATTCCACTCGGTAACATTGGAGCAGGTGTCGCCGTCCATTGCACACTCAGACAAGTCGCTTCTCCAGCGTTCCTTATGACATCGTTTTCTGCTGGTGCTTGACCTGGGATCCAATTGGAGTATCTCATAGCATTGCCGTCGGTCCATTGGAAATCCAATTGACTGGATTGAGCACCTAACCTTCAGAGACGACGTAGATTATATTCAGGTTTTATTGAACTGATATGAATATAAATTCTACTATTAACAAGTTAAAACAGTTTCCTGGAATACACCTCCTGAAATGTCGGCATCAATTGAATTAAATAGCAATACCAAATACAAACCTCTTGCACCGCACTGATGCACTTTCCAATACATTCCACTCGGTAACATTGGAGCAGGTGTCGCCGTCCATTGCACACTCAGACAAGTCGCTTCTCCAGCGTTCCTTATGACATCGTTTTCTGCTGGTGCTTGACCTGGGATCCAATTGGAGTATTTCATAGCATTGCCGTCGGTCCATTGGAAATCCAATTGACTGGATTGAGCACCTAACCTTCAGAGACGACGTAGATTATATTCAGGTTTTATTGAACTGATTTGAATATAAATTCTACTATTAACAAGAGATTTGAATTCTAATAATTATCTCGATTGGTATTGCTAGAATATACCAAATATTTATTCGAGATTTTGGTCATTTCAGTTACTCGAAGGAGGCGATTTTTATTAGGGAGATGGTTGGTGAACTTCATTTTCTGTACTTCTTTTTTTGAATATCAAGGTCAAAAATAACCGTACAAGGGATATAATAGTGGAATTTTAAAAACGAATATAAAATACTCAAATTAGGTTGATGAATACTGATTTTCCTTCAAAGAAAAAGAAAAAAGGTCAGTACCAAAAGTAGAAGTGTGTATGTGTATTTGTGTCACTGCTAGCTAATTGTCCTCAATATCAAGGAGTAACATAATAGTATGGCCATGAATTCAATCAAAATTTATCTTGATACAGTCCATTCATCGAACCACTCAGGAGTTAATATTTTGTTTCTGATGATTCTCTTGTTCCATTAAGTGGAGTATTGACATCATAAATTATTATATTTTGATCTTACTAAGATTATCTGAGTTCACCACTGATGAAGAGGTACTGAGACATCATAACTTTGTTTTTGTTTGACTGAGGAATTATACTGTTAGAACAGTATAATTAGTTAGTACATTATGATATTACTACTCAAAATAGTACTGCAGTTCAATCAAAATTACCGCCTAAGTATCTCTGGCCTACTGAACCAGAAGAAATGAAAGGAATAATGAGTATGTATGTTATCCTTCTAGATCTACCTCCTCTTCACATTTTTCTAGACAGAGAGGCTAGATAGACTGCATATAGACTTGAGCACATTGCCAATTGCACAAATCAATTTAATGCAGACTGTTGGTTGACACTTAAAGTCACAGCATGCTGAAAATGACGTCTGACTTCATGTCTACAACTGTCAACTATTAACTGCCTTATAAAGTACTATTACCGAGTATAGAGGACCGGATCCTCCGGGATCAGGAAATATTAAGAGCAGATAGTTGTAGGTTCACAGTTGGATCAGAAATACCTTCCGGTTCTGGTGCAGGTGTTTTCAGTCGCAGACCCAGGACAGAGATATTAACCTGTCGAAGAACATATGTGACTGTATTTCAAGCGGAAATTCGCTCTATTGAATTGTGTGCAGAGAGATTGGAAGAATCCAACCTCATACACGACTTGATAAAATTATTCTCGGACGGTTAAGCGGCGTTGGGAACTCTTGTCTCCTACCGAGCAACGTCTGAATCGGTAGCAAATTGTCAAAAACGACTCTCCTCGATAGGAAGACTTAACAGATTGTCTCTGGTCTGGATTCCTGGCCATACAGGCCTGGAAGGCAATGAAGCTGCTAATTCTCTTGCAAAGGAGGGTGCTATAAGCAGCTTCTTCAGACCAGAACCTGTCATTGGCATCGCAAGAAGATTAATGGACTTCTGGCAGGATCTTTCCAAACAGTTGTTGGACTACAGTAGTGACGAACTACGATGTCTAACAGGCCTTCTCACAGGTCACTGTCATTTGAAGCATCATATGCAGACACTCAGACTGTCGGAAGGTAGTGTGTGTCGCCTCTGTTTGGAATAAGGTTTTTAGTGTTCGGCAGAGCTTCACCCTTACTATCTGATCTGAAAGACCACTCACCATACAAAGTAATCGGCTTCGTTGAGAAGCTGAGTTTATTTGGTCGAGTCTGAATAAGTGTGAGCCACAATAAACCTTCGGGGGTTGTGGTGGAGAGTCGAATAGATCCACTCACTTTAGACCTAACCTACTCGAAGAAAGATGTAACATTGAAGAAATAGGTGGTGAACTCATTTCATTATTATTTCTGGAGAATGTAGTCAAAATTAATTACATAAAAAGGGATAGAAAATAGAACAGTCGAAATTACGAATCCTGAGATTTCCATCAGTATGTATAGTGAAATGAGAAGAAATATGACTCAAAGTAGGTTCATGAAAATGTTTTCTTTGGCAATAAATGACCTAAATTCAGTAAAAAAACAACAGAATCACCTATAAATATACATATTCACATTTTTCATCTGTTTCTTGATTTCGAATTTGAAAATGGTAATTTTGACTTCGATTTCAAAATCACGACTTGGAATTTTTCCTCTTATGAAAACTCCACCAACGAAATCGACGGAGAACTCAATTCTCAAAAATCAAAGACAAATGGCGGTCAGTTGCAAAGCTAAGCTTCCACATCGGACGCCTACGAAACTCATTTTATGTCTTTCACTGCAAAGCAACAAGTTGAGAAATAGAAACCGAACACAACGCATTATGACTCAATACCACCATAGAGCTCAATGCAGTGCTGGACTCAACTGTACTCAATAGACAAGCCTATGTGAGTAAGGAATTCCCTATGGGATCGATCCCATGACGCGGATGCACTGCATTGGTATATGCAAAACCTACGTTCACCGCATTGCAGCAAAACATTATTTTGTGTGTGTGTCTGTGTATTTGTGTCACTGCCTGCTGATTGTCCTCAATATCAAGGATCCCTTTCATTTAGCAGATACGAAGACTACCATATGGAGCTGAACCACCATGGCTGTCATATAATAGGTTAGGTTAGGTCCAAAGTGAGTGGGTCAATTCGACCCTTCACCGCAACCTGCCTTAGGAAGGTGGTCAATTTTTTTCGTAACCATATATGATCCTCATACCTACTGTCGCTCAGTTTGAGCATTATTTGCAAAACTTTGTTTTATTTTTATTTTGTTGAGTTATCATTAGACTCATAAAATGAGTCAGGTATTATTTCTATATGTGCAATTCTTTTTCGCTTTTGTAGATTTTTTTTTAAGTTTTCACCTCAGTGGATTGATTATATTAGTAAACCACTACTAAGTACGGAAAATTTACAAAAACTGCAATCAGATTACCCACAAGTCATCTTTTTTACGTCTTCAATTGATTTCCTTCGTACATCATTAATCCTTCCTTGAAAATGGATCATTCTTTTGATTTGTTGCAGAAAATTAGAAACTCGTTCACCATCCTTCGACTGTATACTTTTCATCTGTTCTCGATGATATGGAAATCAATCCATTTTGGAGATTCCCTCAGATGAGGCTGAGTTCGAAAGGTCGAAAGTAAGAGGGTCCATTTGACTCTCCACCGCAACCCGCAAGGGATATTCGTGGCTCACATCCATTTGAACTCAACTGAATAAACACAACTCCTTAACGAAGCCAATTTGTTTATATGGTGAGTGGTCTTTCAGGTCAGTTGGTGAGGATGCGGTTCTACCAAACTTTGATAACCTGTGTTACAATCTTCATTCGGGTTTGGAGGCCATCGTAGTTTGGAACTGCATCCTGAAGTTTCGCCAGCACGAGTGGCTGCGTTCTTCAGAGGTTTATCTATCTTGATGATTCGCCAGCCATCGGCGAATCATCAGTAACACTGAAAATCTTTTCCGCCAAAGCCTTTTAACCAAATTATTTGATAACCTGACTCGGTCCGCAGCGGGGCAGGGTGTTTCATCTATTTTGAAACGGAGGCGACACACACTGTCTTCCGACAGTCCAAGTCTCTGCATATGATGATTCAAATGACAGTGACCTGTAAAAAGGCCTGCTAGATATCATAGTTCATCCTTATCTAGTCCAACACTGTTTGGATTGAAGCTTCGAATGAACGCCTTGAAGTGAGCCAATCCTGGGAGATTTTGCCAGAAGTCCTTGAGTCTTATTGCCATCAAGATGTTCAATGTTTGTTTGGCAAAACCTAAAGCGATGCCAATGACAGTTCTGGTACGATGAAGCTGCTTGCAACACCTTCCGTGGCACCCTACATAATCCTGTGTGGAAATATTATTTATTGCGTTAAAACATTTCAATTCTTTTGGGCTACAGCACAGTTAGACATCGTAGTTCACCTCTACTATAGTCCAACAACTGTTTGGTATCAAGCTTCGGGTAGTGAGCCAATCTGGATAGATTCTGCCAGAAGTCCATAAATCTTCTTGACGTCCAGGTGTTCAATCTTTGTTTGTCAAAGCCTAAAGCAATCCCAATGACAGGTTCTGGTCCGATGAAGCTGCTTGCAACAGTTTGGCAATCTGTTATGTCTTCCTATTGGAGAGTCGGTTTTGGCAATTTGCTACCAATTTAGACGTTGCTCAGTAGAAGTCAAGAGCTTCCAACGCCGCTTGACTGTCCGAGAATATTTTTATTGACTTGTTTATGAGGTTGGATTCTTCCAATCTCTCCGCACACAATTCAATAGCGTAAATTTTTGCATGAAATTCAGTCGCATAGGTTGATATATCTGTCCTGGATCTGCAACTGAAAACAGCTGCACCAGAAACGGAAGGTGTTTTTGATCCATCTGTGAAGCAACAACTGTCTGCTCTTAATATTTCCTTCTCCCGGAGGATCTAGTCTTTTTTACATATCAGAAATGTTTCATTCATTCCAGTCTATACTATTGAAAAAAATATATAGAACTTTTTCGAATAGTCAATCATTAACTTTGTTGCTGCATTGATATCTAATAAAAACGAAATCTTTGTAAAGTCATAATTTCGTGCTTTC